AGTTGCGCACGTTAAAGATCCCTTGGTGGTCTAAAATCGATAAGAGTAGGCTTCGGCCGCCACCCGGGCAAAATTCAAAATTTCCCACCAACTGAAAATATTAGGTGTGTCCCGCGCGCTCATATGACCTATGCAGTTGCGAGCGCCGTAAAACACTTTACAAAAACAAAACAACAAAACAGGCACCTGTCCAACGTGGCCGCGGCAACCATATTTTACCACACAACCCCTATCACACCAAGCAATAACACCTGTCTTAGACGGCCACCTTAGTGACTCCATTACGTTTTGTCATAAATCAAGCATTGGCCCCTGGCGTTGTGGGCGAGCCGTCATAATCCAATCACCTGTCATTGTTGTTACCGATCTTGTTGCGTAGGCCACTCCCACTGTTGACCAATAGGTAACATTTTCAGCTGCTGGTGAGGTAAGCGTGTGATCCCTCATAACCCGTAAGCCCTGCCCACAACTCATACACAAGTTGTAAGTGAGATGGGTGGTCCCTGTTAACCCAGTCTGTGACAAAGTAACAATGGACGTCAACATGAACTTGTGACAGAAGCGTCGCTCGTTCTCCGAGTGGTGGCGATCTGTGTGTTTGTTTAAACATGGCATTCGGTCCTCCTTGTCTGATACATTTCGTTTTATTGTTACCCTTGCACAAAAGCAGCTATAAAAGAAAAAAACCTAGCGAAAACAACTCAGCAAAAACAACAATAGCAACAACAATTCAGCTATCTTCGGTTGGGACCTCAGAAAAGAATGGTTTGTTTTCTTTATCTTGATCAGTCCTGTCTAAGAGGACCACCTGTCTTATATGGCCACTTTTTTCCTTGATGGTGCGTGGCCGTCTTACCCAGGTTCGACTGTATATATGTGTGTGTGTGTGTGTGTGTGTGTGTGTGTGTGTGTGTGTGTGTGTGTGTGTGTGTGTGTGTGTGTGTGTGTGTGAGGTGTGTGTGTGTGTGTGTGAGGTGTGTGTGTTTGAGTGCATGTGAATGTGTGTGTTGATTTTGCACATTTCTTCAGTGAATTTTATTGATTTTAAGGGGGAGACCCAATGATTGTTTCATATTTGTCATAGTAAATGTTTACCCTCCCAAAACACAATCAAGGTAATTTAGGAGGCAGGGTGCTCTGACCCTGAGCTGAAATGGGTACAAAGACCCAGCAGAAAGATGGAGATACTAAAAACTTCCTAAGGGACTCTTTTGGTGTTTGCCTATCAGATAAAAAGTCCTGAAATCAAAACCATCCAGTGACGAAATGTTTTTCTCTGAGTATGTTCTCCTTTGTTCTCCTTTCCAGTTCTCTGGTCCTGTTCTGTTTTCTGCTTTCATCTTCACTTTCTTCCCCCCTCCCCTCGCCCCTCCTCCGCGGGTCCTTTCTCCTTTACTCCCGACTCTCTCTACTGCTACTCCTGACTTTTTCATTCTTCTGTCTTTCAGCCACACCCCTGATCATAGGATAGGTAAGATCGAACACCAAACTTTCTCGGATTAGGGTGAAAAATTTCAGGGAATGTCACGTGTGCAAGTTGCGCATGTTAATGATCTCTTGGGATAAGATTAGATGTTAAATGCCACCTCGCCAAATTTCAAAATTTATCAGTACCAAAATTGAAAATACTCTAGTAAATAAAAACGAAATATCTTTGAAATCAGAATGTTGCTGCCTGAAGGCAAGGGGCCCTATGAAATAGGAAAACGTTTAAAAATCAGTTGCTACCCCTACGGTCTAGCAAGGGAATGCCAAGAAGAAGAAGAAGAAGAAAAAAGAACCTCCCCACTCATGAACGACCTAAAGTCTTCTGTGTGCAAAAATCAAACTGCTTGACAGCTGCACCATAGATAACACTTTAGTAATTTTCTTGTTTAATTTCAATGGATGAAGGACTCTGGTCAGGGTTGCCTTGTTTTCTTAAATTTACAGAATTTTGGAAGTTAAAAATTGTACGCGAACAATATATGACAATGTAGTGTTGAGATAAAGTAAAAGAGGCAGGCATATACAAGAACCTGCCAATAGTGCCCCCAAACCACTTGCTTATTTGAATTGAAGAAAATGTCATTTAATTTGTAAGATTGTTCTCTTTGTTTTTTTCAGTTCTCAGTGCATTAAACTAGACAGCTTATGCATCAGCTCTGGAAAGGTATGTACTTGAAAATCGTTCAAATGTTTTTTAAACTGAATTTTGATTTCTTCAGAATGTCTGCTGAAAATGAGGGGGCAGAAAACTGTCTGTAAGGACCACATTGATGAACACTACAGCAATTTGAATTGAGCATTTTCTTATGTCTACCTAAGTTGGCGGAATACTTGCTCTTTGTTTTCTATAGCCTTAATACTCTTAGTACTTTTAATTTTTTTGTCTTTTGATTCGAAATCAGCTTTGTAGGTTGTCTATTTTTTCGCTAAAGAAGGAGCATTATTTTATCAAAAAAAGATGATGTTCATAAATGTTTTTTTCATGTCCAGTATTTCTCTGTTCTTCATTTCCCATTTGTTTTGCTCTTCCTCAGTTGGTCTGGGTGCTATATATAGATCTGGTGTGCCTGGACTACGATGGCAATGTTATGGATGCCTGCACTTTAGCTCTGATGGCTGCTTTGAAAAATAGTTAGTATCTACCATGTTGGAGTGCAATTGTGCGCTTGAAATGAGTTTTAGAAAAAAAAATATATTATACGTACTGACCAGCTGCTGGCAGTCGTTTGGATATATTCTTTTATGATGACTATGATGTCAAATTATTTTTCTGCAATTGCTAAAAAACAGGTTCTTTTACTTGGAGCTCATTCATTAGACAGGAGAATTTGGAGATCGTATATTTGTTACCAAAATTGTTTATCACACTAGGATAGTTTTATTTTTTCAATTATATAACAAAATGTCGTTTTTCTCAAAACTTCCTAACTTTGTACAGGTTGATATATGTATAGATGCATTGTGAGTTATGATGATTATGTAACAATATTGAGAGTGTACGGGGGGTAGTTATCCATCTGTATTTTTTTTCTATTCAAGATATTCTCTCGTATGTTTCTCTCCCGTCAGCTTCCCTGCCAGTGGTGACAGTTGACGAGGACACCGGCGACGTCAAGACTCACCTCTCCACTCACAGCTCGCTCTCTGTGGACTCTTGTCCCGTCTCCACCACCTTCATCGTCTTTGACAAGTACGTTCTCATATTCTGATGTCTGTCCCCGTCGGATTATGCGATTGTGCGGCCCCGGCGCTGCCGCATTTTTTCGCATAATTCTGCAACATTTGCATAATTTTAGATTCCTGGCATTTTTGCACATTTTTTTTTCAGTTTTCACAAAACAATTGAATGCCTAGTCATGTGACAAAAGGGAAGTAATCACAGTAATAAGTCTCATTTAAGTGACAAGTTGATTTCCCTTGGTAAGGATTTTGTTCCTTGGGCTTGTTCAATTTTTCAATCCACTGAAAGTTGTTCTCATGTCTTTGCTGATGTTTCATGTTTGCCTGGTGTCCCAGTGTTAGTGATGTGCCAGCATCAGAGATCCCGATGTCTTCTTCTTTAAAAAAAAATTAAAAAAAAAAACAACATTCCATCCCTGTATACAGCTGAAAGTTCCAGAGATTATACAGTGGAATCCTGTTATAACGAGAGGGAGGGGACCGGTGCAAAATGTCTGTTATAGCAGGATTCTCGCTATAAGGGATCCAGTAATAAATTCCAGGGAAATAATAAAGTAGGCCTAATCTATGAGTTTGGTGTTTTGTTTAGATCTAGTTCTTTTTGCTATCTCCCCCGATGATGATTTTGCCCAACATGACCTCTAGGTCGCACCTGATCCAAAATCGAATCAGGTTTCTTTCTCTAGCACTAGAGTTGTTGACTGGCAGCTCGGCGTTGGCGATCAGAAAGAAAGGGCTCTAGGCTAACTCGCCCGCTGTGTTTTCCCCCACCCCACCACACCCTGTGGTGCATTCTGTCTGCTTGTGCACATCACACATTCGCTCACTCAATCTATCACAGCACTGTGACCTCTCCATCCCTACATCGGAGAAGTGAGAGGCATGGTAGGCCTTAATAATCTAAACTAGGCTTCCCTGGCCTATCACGCGATGAGTTCTGCTTGTCTGTGCATGCCTCACCCTCCCCACTCTGTCGCTCTGGCCTTTATTATTGACACTCGTGGGCTCTCCCATTCTTTGTTTTGCTAGATCACCAACACGTTTCTCAACTGGCAAGGTTTTACATTGTGTATAATTGGCCTATGCACTGTGCACAGCAGCAACAGTATTCCGCTATAACCGACTCGCATGTTGGTCTGATAGCGCAATAGCAGTATTTTATTTACAAAGGTGAAGAAGGAAAAAAACAGGGTTTTTGAATAGTTTCTTTATAACAGACTTCTCGTTTTTTCCGGACTCGTTGTAAGTGGACTCCACTGTATTACAGTCCGTGCCGGCTTTAAGCACGCCGCCATAAAGCATGTTTCGGACTCAAGCACGCCAAACGGCTTTTACCGAATTTTTGCGATATAAATTACACGGCTTTAAGCACGGTAACTTCGGCTTCAGGCACTTTTCATTTACAAGACAGTCAATACTTTCATGATGACCCATCGAAGTTCGAACACAGTCTACACCGCATCAGTGGAGTGTGTTAAGAGAAACACAAAGAACGCAATTGATGGACACACACACGCGCGGAGAGGAAGGCAGAGAGATGCACACAGCCGCAAGCATGGACATAGGATCTAGCCTAGGGCAAAGCTACACACAGACAAAAACATACAAAGAGAGTCGAGGAAACGAGAAAGGGAGGCTGGCTGCAATTTCACCTTTGACCCTCGCTATCTAAACGGTCAGAGAACGTATAGCTCGCTATCCATTAATCCTGATTGTGTATCACACGCGAGGTGGGATGAAGGCGGTTGTATGAATGTGGCAGAGCGGGCAGTAGTAGCAATGGTACGCACAGGCAGTGTGTAGGCCTAGTGTGCTGTATCGTGACTGGCCGTCTAAATTAAGTTTTCATTTCCCATTCGACCACAAAACAAAAACAAACAAAGCAAACAAAAACTAGAGTCTACCATGGCGGGTAAAAATAACAGTGCACACAGTGCACACTTTTGCAGGACCGCTATAGGCCTACTTGCAAACAAAGAGAAATAGCACGGGAAATTTTCCACATGAAAATCTCTGGATTATGTCTACTTCGCACTCGAACATGCTTCGGCATTAAGCACGCTTAAGCTTTCTCCCGATGACCGTGCTTAAAACCGGCATGGACTGTATATAGATAATATATTTTTTTTCTGACTGATGTCTTATCTTTCCAAATACACAAAAAGCTACTGATACTGATATGTTCTGTTTTCAATTCTTCTGTACATAGATTATAGATCTAAAACATGAAAATTCTTGTTAAAAAAGTGCAAAACATGTTGTGAATGATGTTACGGTAACTCGCATAATTTTTCATTTGCTTCGCATAATTTGGCCATCTAAATTTGCATAATTCTGTGGGGACAGTGATATGTCATGTCCTTGGATTGATACATACATGAACATCAATATTTGTGTGTGTGCGTGTTCCTGGAGATAGGTGCCAGTTCTCGACAAAGCTATTTTGGAACTACTGAGTGAAAAGGCTAAACATGTTGAACCTGGTCGAACATTTAGTTCCATCAGAAAACAAATGTTTAACCATTTCTTAATAATATATTGAAAGGATTTTATAATATTTTTAGTCTAAATATTTTTTTATTACTTATTTTTGCAACATTTACTTCACCAAAGGTAAAAAAATGTGCTAGAAATTGGGTTTTTCTCCAAACTTTGTGTTCACATTCTGTGTTACAAAATGTGACATATTTGCCTGTGTGTCTCCCCAGCACGGTTCTGCTTGTCGATCCCACAAGAGAGGAGGAGTTGTTGGCGACGGGAGCCGTAACCGTGGTGACAGAGGGAGACAACCTGTGTAGTGTATATAAGCCTGGTGAGTGGCGTCGGGAAGAGATTAGGAAAAAAGGGGAATCAAGTTCTAAGATAATCACATGGGAGATCTTCTGTGGTTTGCTCGCCTTCTTTCCTATCGAATTCAAACATTTATCATCCTTTTCTCTTCTCCAAGTGGGTGGTTGGTGGGTGCTCTGATGTAGTTGGCTCCTTCTTTCCTGTCAGTCATTTATCAGCCTTATCTCGCTTTTCATCTTACTTTCTGTCACCTCTAATCTTCGGCTCTATATGATCTACATATGTGTTGCAGGTGCCATACAACTTTTACTAAAATAAAACAATAAGAGACAAAGATAGACAAGTCTCTTTTGAATGTCATTACACTCTTAATTGGGGGGGTTCTGAGTAAGTGACTGGTTTTTTTTCACAGTTGAAAATAAGCATGATGTTAGCCTAAAGAGAAATTTACGCAATAAAGGTCAATAAGTACTGGAAAAATGTAAGACAGACAGAAACAACAGAGGAAAAGTCTTTTTTTTTTCCCCGTGCCCTACATGACTGTTATTGTGTTAGTTTTGCGTCGTTTTACTCAAGCTTAAGTGGAGAAGGGAGTTAACCTTTGTGAATTGTGATGTATTAGAAACTGCATGTGGCTGTATATTAGTATACCTCTAGGCGTAGGTAAGACAACATACATTACACTGGGTGAGAAATTGCGAATTCACAATGTCTATGAAAAATGAAATGGTCGAAACACACTCACAAAATAAAATGCCCACGAAAAAATCCAAGTGCACAGTATGCTCTTTGCTGTTGCATGCAGAAGACACAAGTTTGATTCCTGACTGGGAAGGTTTTTTTTGATCGAGCATCTTCGTTTGTCTTCTGGTATGTTTATGTCCAGGCGTAGTATTGTGAATTTCCTAGAATTACCAGTCCTACATTATGCCTACCGCAAGAGTTAACACTTACAGTAAATAAAGTCGCCGGCCCTTAATTTCCTCTCAGTACCGCTGACTCGACGAGGCGCACTAAACAATGAATGGAACTTCTCCAGGGCAGTAAATATCAAGGGAAATCACTCTATGTGATAGCTGAATCATTGATGTAGCACTTCGAATTTTTAAAGCGCGTTTCTTGAGCTCTAAAGGGTTTTTTTTTTACATGTTTTTTTTTCTCCCTGTCTTCAGCGTTCCCAGATCACTACATCTAGATCTAGAAATTCAGGTGGGCGTGCCTATCCTCTCCAAACAGAATGAGAGTTTTATCATGATGTCTATGTCGCAGAAGAGGTTTTTCTATAAAGTACATTTATTTTTGAACATTATTGAAAATTTCATGTGATTCTGTCAATGACTTGTTTCAATTAATTTTTTTGTAATGTACCCTAATTATTTGTTGGCTCCTAAATCGGTGCGGTACACAAGGTTTTTTTTACAATGACTAACTCCTCCTTTCTTTCGTCCAGGTGGCTCTCCTCTGACAGATGAGCAGGTTGAGATGTGTGTGGAGCGAGCGTTTGTTCGAGGGAAGGAAGCCACGGCTCTTATCACAGACACACTCTGCTCCATAGACAGATAGCCATGAATAAATATTAATATGTACCTCCAAATGTTTGTCTTTTTTTTTTCATACCCCCATACCCCCCCCCCCCCCCCCCCCCTTTTTTTTTCCTTTGCGCTCTTTTTGTTTTTTTCTTTGTTGTTGGTGATGATTCCATGAAAAAGTTGTTTTGTAAATGAACTTGTTACTTATGTCCAGTTAACCATTTATGAATATAGTCGAGTACAGATAACTCAAACATGTCTAGGGTTGACAAATGTGTTCAACCCAGCCATTTTTCGGGTAAACTGATATAACGAAACATTAAAAAGATATCAGATGGGCAATGGCAAATTGTATGAGCTATCTGTAATTTCAAGTTTTCCATGTTTGTGTTATCTGGGCCTAAATGTGCGTTACGTTCATATTCAAAAACCTGCATTTTCAAGAAAATAAAAATTTGACCAGCTGATGGTTGGGCTACAATTATTTAAAACTTGCACCGACATTTTTGTAACAATAAACAGCATTTTTATATAGGGCAAATTCCCACGAAACAGCAATCTGTATGTGTCCTACAATCTAGGCCTATATTACTACCCAGCAGACCTGATAACAATCTGAAACAATCTCAACCTCTTAGAAGCATAGTACAGCCGGCGGCTGACAAAAATGCCTTTTTTTATTCACAGTAGTTTCGAGAATAAAGGCATTTTGTCAGCGTATCCTTTAAAGGAAAGGCGTTCTTCCGAATTAGAATTCTAATTTATTCCAAAACTAGTCACAGTTTCACTTTGATTTTTTCACACAAATAGGGTAACTGATGGATAACAACAATTGGGCTATCGATTTAGCAAATTAAAAAATTTGATACCAAAAATGAAAAAATGCGTTTTGTCAGCTGATGGCAGAGTAGTGAAAGGGGACTCGTCCATATCTCTAATTTTGACTACTTATTGAATAGTGTAAGTGGAAAAAATAATTTACTGGGTTTTTTTATTCTCGGTGTCACTTTTCGCCCGATTCTGTTACCTTTAGTTAGCGTGACTCAGCAGCCCGCCGGAGCTCCCCGGCTCGGGGTCACGGGGTTAATGAGCCCTGAAGCGACTTTGCCGGTGTCGGTTTGGAAGTTCACATTTTTGGCTATGTTTAAAACGATATAACTTCTTCCCCATCCCACACAGCAAACCATTACGCGGATGTACTAAAAGCTTAATGTCTTGAGATTTATTCTGCGAGTGTTTGTAGAGTACCCAATTTGTCCTTTTTTTGTTCAAACTTATGAATAAATGATTGTTAATTTAAAAAAGGCACGACAGATCTCTCCAAAATCTGTGTTAAACTGACTACGAATATCATATCTTTTACCACTGAGAAATCTTAAATCTGCCCGAGTAGTGATAGTCAAGCTATAAGAGAAGAAAGATGCACATCTGCATTTTTTAATTAAAGATGATCAGCGTTAGCTTTTATTTTACTATTAAACAAGAGAAAGTTACTCTGTGGTTGTTCATGAATCATGCTGTGTCTGTGGCAGCCAACATACAACTAAAAATATATAATATAAGCAATTAAAAACCCCCACAAAACCATGTAAATACATGGGTAGAGATAAACTTCTTGTATGGAATAAAAATAATGCCAGCTGACACATTCATTCTTAGTTTTTGTGTCGGAAATATGTGCAAACACAATTATGAATATAAAGAAATCAGTCACTTTGTCAGTTATTGCAAATAGTCATAGAAACAAAAAATAAAGCTGGAAAAGTCTGGTGCTGATTCAGTGTCCCTGGAAAGCTAGAAATTTTTCTTATAACCCAATTACGAGAAGTCATCCCTATTATTCACTCAACTTACAAAACCTAGACTTAGCGTTTTAATAAGAAAATTAAGGAATTTCTGGAGTGTAACAGATACTGTTCATGTATTACATTGAAGATGTATTCTGACACTAAAATTGATTTGTACTTTTCACAGAGAAACTTCATGGTAACTTTTGTAAACTTTCAAGAAAATATGCGCATATTCCTGATTATATTAGACACATAAAGTTGTATTTGGAGGAATTACTTCATAGCGAATTGTGTGCACGATGGATATGGATAAAGTTGCAAAATTACAGCTTTCTATTATATGCACAGATACCATCTTTTCTGAGTTTATCTGCACCAATGCTATGTCGTTCATGTTCCTAAAGTTCGACAGATTTTGTGGAGGCTGTTTTTTTATATTGATTCTTTTTTCTTTCACGCTAGTCAAAAAAAAATTGCAATTTAGCATTGCCGACTTCAGCGCGTCTAACGAAATAACCAGACAAGTTACAAAGTCCTTTCTTTTTTGAGTCTCAAGAGCAGAAATGCATGGTTTGGGTGCACTAAATGAAAATTACCATGAATACTAGGATACACCTAAAATTGTACGTTGAAAAGTACCAAAAATTAAGTCGGCCCAGACAGAGCGGCGACAGGGAGCTGACCCCCGTGATCCCGACGTGATAAGGCACTCGGTGGGGAACCCCCCTCGGCAACTAAAATTCCACTGCCGGTGCGCCGTGTTGTCTTCTAACCCACTGCTGTGGTAAATTTTCTGTTCCTAACTAATTATAAGGAATCAGGGTGTATTATAAAAATAATATATTGGCTATCAAAAGAAAGGTACACTTTTTGATTGTGCGGAATATGTAGAAAACTGGAATTTTTTCTTGACCGTGTGACAGATTTTTTTTTTTATTCTTTGAAAAAAATGGATCTGCGTTTACCAAAAGCCACAATAAGATTCCAATGTCACCCAAGAAAGACAGTGAGTTTGACTCAACGTCAGAGAAATTGAGCTATCAGCATGCTCCAGGATTTTCTACTCTTGCTAGGCTCAACCTGGGATTCGAACCAGAGCCATCCACTCCATTGCATGGTATCACTATCAGCTGTGCTAACTGAGCGTCCTCTGTCTCTGTGGCTCACATAACATATCAATTCTATTCTATTCCGAGCTTCAATGCCAGGAAACAGAAAACGATACCAACGCTTATAAGAAACAAGGAAATGTAGGTACTGCCAAAATGTCATCATCAACAAAACACCTTGGAAAAAAGTGTGAATCCTCTCAGAATCAAAATGTAATAAATCAACAGAAGGCCAAGACATGGGTGGCAGACTAAACCTTTATTTCCGTCAACGTAAATTTCTTTCATTAAGACAAATTAATTCCACTTTGGAAAATATCAAGTTCAACCAACAATAAATGATAAAAAGCTAAGTAAAGTCCTGTAGGATGAGAGAACTGCTCAAGATCTAAAGAGAAAAGAAGCCTTTTCTGACAATTAAGGTGTGCATGGTACAGGTACATAGAACTAAAGCTCCCACTTGTCTTCTCTGAAGATGAAATTTTTCTGTAGTTTTGTAAAAACGTCTTTTTAACACATTGACGGAGAAAACATAAAAACTTAGATGCATTTAAAGTGATGAAACTGGTCTCAACAAAAAACTAAATTAGCTACACATGATTAAATTAGTTAATCTATCTACTTATTAGAAATATCTGATTACTTTATCCTCCGATCATAGTAACAATAAAAGTTGATCTTCACAAATTTCTTGCTCTCAAGCAGTTACATGTTTTTAAAATACATCTTTGGTAAAATGACTGTCTCTGGGTGAACCTAACCTTTTCTGTTCTAAAGGACAGCGATCATTGCTGTACATGTTCACTTGCGTTTAATTTACTGCAATTGTAAATGTGTTACAACCCCATCAATATAACCCCGAACCAGACTCACATCCTCTGCATGTGACATTGGTTGATAAGCCTAACCATTGCACCACAGACACTACTGCAGTTCGTCTTTGAAGTTTGAAGTATTGAAAATAGAAACAAAGGTATGCAAAGTAATTGGTAAAACCGTGAAACTTTAATCTTAAGCTTAAGCTTAACTACAACCACTGAAAATGAAATTTCAAAGCCTTTATGGAGCTTTTTTTTCAAAAGGAAGGAAAATCATTTAAGTGCAGAAAATGTCTCGGCAACCAGAAAATAAAACATAACAAATGGAATCACTTAACAAGAAAACTAACTACATTGTACTGCTGTTATTCTGGCAATGGTCATGACCATTTTCTGTACAAAAAAAATGACACAAAATGTGTTGTTAATCAACCATTAAAATATAACGAATAGAATAAAAAAGCAGATTAAAAGTCCTAAACTAACTCCAAACCATTCTACATCTAAAAGTGGCATGTCCAAATTCTGAGTACATGTATCAAAATGGCAGAAAAGGTGTCATTTATATATGTGAACAAAGTATAGCAAATGGAATTGCTAAGCAGACTAATAATAATAATAGGCTGTCTACCTACTACTGTCACTCACAAAGTAAAAGTAAAAGCGACAAGTCTAAATTCTGACTGCTGTTTAAAATAAAAGAAGAAAGAAAGAGAAAAGTTGATCAAAAGCAAAATATGTGGCAGAGTCACTGAATTTAGAAAGCAAACTGGGTGACGGGTGATGAACTATGCCTGTTCTGAAAGTATCCAAAAGTGAGGAAAAGTCTGCCTCAATGACATTCAAATCATCGCTGGCATTCGTCATTGCTGTATGTCAAAATCAAAATAAGATGTTTTCAGAAGAAGCAAAAAACCCTCGTACATTCGATCTCTGATATCTCCAACATGCTGGGGATTGCCAAACACAAATTATGTATTTAATTTCAGGCAGGATATTTTCTTAATACAAAATATTTAATTCAATTAAATCTGTTACTATTTTAAGAAGAGGAATAAAACTAGGACCAACCGATGTCTGTCATGAAATTCTACAACATACTTGATTTTCAATTCTATGAAACTTTGACATACTACAATAGTGAATGAAGGCGACGAAATATTGAACGATGACGCAAGCATATTCATAGACGACATGGCAAGCAGGGGGTAGCAGTATGAGCCGATACAGCTCAAAACATCTCTCGGTTCTCGGTGGCTACCGTTCTTCTATGTCTACATGCGGTCCAGAGCCTTGATGCCCAGGATGTGGAAGCATTTAGCGATGACCAAAGCGGTTGCCTCGCACAGTAGGAGGCGGCTCATGTTGACCTTGAGGATGGCACCTGCGGAGAGGGAGAGGAAGAACATGATGTTGAATAAATTTATACATAATGTACAATGCGACGATCAGTTGGATCAGCCTCTGTGGTGTAGCGAGGGGACCGCAGCCTTTTTTGAGGGAGAGTGTGGAGGGGGAGGAGGACCGGAGTCCTGGATGCGGGTAGAGGAGGGGGAGTGGGTGGAGGGGCTTTATTGGATGAAGGATGATGGAATGGAGGTGAAGATGAAGATGCAGTTGGCGGTGGGGATGAAGATGAGCGTGGTGAGGATGTGGATGAGGATGATGGTTGTGAGGTGAGGATGGTTGTGAGGATGAGGATGGTTGTGAGGATGAAGGTGAAGATGGTGAGGGTCTTGGGGGTGAAGATGTT